AATACCCATCTTGACAACCCAAACCAAGGGAGCGATCTATATGCAACTGTATATGGTAAGATTGCCATCAGCTGCCTCATCACATTCTCCTTAATCTCATTCACAATCTAAGGTCCTTTCTTTCATTAGTAATTTTTGCTTGGAAAAAGGGAGTCAAACAGGGACTTGGCAGAAGGCCCAGTTATAGCAGAATAAATTGCAACTTGTAAATTTAAATAAAGCCTTGTCATGACAGTCTCCTGTGGCCAGATTGGGAACAGCACATTCCAGCTATAGGAATAGTTTCTCTAATGGAAAAAGGGAATAGTCTTTATTCCTGTTGGGGGGGAGGAGGAGGAAGCACATTTTATTTTTTTGCAAGTGTATTGTTATAATGCACAAAATGGTAAGAATCCTATTGGAGAGTGTTTAAGTATATGTAGCTAAGTTTCTTTGATTTTGAATTTATTGTCAATTGTGACAGACAAAAGTCTTGTATAATAGATTCAATTAAGCAGAATGAAGTGAGAGAGAAAAGAAAGGAATTACATGAGAATATATTGATACATAGTGAAGGAAACATTTCGCTGAACCTTTATATTAAAAACAACAAAGATGAAGATACTATTAACATTCCAAGTTCGGACAATTGAATACCTTTGTGTTGTGGGTAGTTGTTTTTGTTTAGTGGCATATCAACACTTCTATGGGTAGTGCCAAAATGTAAATATTTTGAACACAATTTTATTTTTTGGGAGATAATGGTTTTAGTGATACAAATCCAATTAATTAACCCATAGCTGGGGGAGAGAGAAGAAGTGGATACCTTTCCAAAGAGTATTTGCATGTAGGTGAATATAACAAATCCAGTATCTGTCTATATTTCTGAAATGAGGTATTATTTACATTGTTTGGGCTGTTGTCATATTCTTGACATTTTGGCTGTTGTACGCTCCAGCTTTTTTTTCTTTTTCAGCTGACTTTAATTTTGAACCAAGCTCTTTATTACATCCACCAGGGTAGATTGTTCTAGTTCCACATGCCATGCCTCTTCCGAATTTCTCAGTTTCATTTATTTCCCTTTAACTCAACTCTTCAAGTTTTTGTTCACCTCTGCTGTGGCCAGGTATTGAACTCACAACTCTTTGGGTCAAGTCACTTGATTACTCCAAGCGATGCGTTTATCCACTATCCGAAATTGGCTCTCCAATTAACAATTCCGAGATGTTATCCATTACTCCATCCAAGCTTACAAAATCCCTCTAGGTACTGACCATACTCAATGCTGCTTAAATTTGGTGATCGTATGGAGACCAGTGTTTCAATGTGACATAGATGGTGGTATTACAATGTTTTTGTAAATATATGTGACCTTCATTCAAGCATTTTACCAACCAGTCAATGATTACCACCTGGTTGCATTCTGATTCTTGATCTTGGCGATGTGTACTGAAAGCTGAGGAAGGTAACATGCCGAAAGACAAACACCACACTGAGAAATAAGAACCCCCGTTTCCATATTATATATAGGTGTTTTATTCAGGGCATCACCTGCTTATTTGGGGGTGGGGGTGGGGGGTTGATAATTGGGACAACAACTGCTATGTCGGTCAAACAGCTTAACTTTTTCCTCTGCCCAATCCTCTGCCCATCTACTCATCTCAACGTGGTGGTTGGCAATACAAAATGGACAAGACAGCAATCACAAGATCTGTGTCCTGCCAAGGGTGGACCAAAACTCTGACCAATCCCAAGCAGGAATTAATATTGATCAGCACCCAAGTATACCTAATTCTGATCTTGTTGCCACTTGATCTCTAAGAATTCCTTAAGCACTCCTTTACTTCCCATTCCTCCCTTCAGTTAAAGCCGACACTGCTTAGAATAAACTTCAAAAAGGAACCATCCTGCTAGTTCATCAAACCAAAACACCTAAGATCAAGATAAAAATTATTACTTCTCTTTCTATGGGGGTGTCCATAGCATCACATTTTAACCATTGGATATATAGATTTCTTAGGCCCCCCAAAGTGGTGTAATGGTTAGCAAACTTTCCTTGCTGGAACATTTATAACTGAGTAGTGAGTTCAATCCTTACTGGGTGCCCCATACTTTCAGCCTTGTGCCACATCTAAGCTATGCTTAGAAAAATCAATATATAGATTTCTTTTATTACCATAAATATTATTTTTAGTGGGTACATGGGTCTGAGCTTACATCCCATTTTTTCCCCTATTAAAACAGTGAAATTAATATCAACCAGCTTAAGACTGAGAGGTCCAACTAAAGAAAAATGTGCCTCCCAACAAGAATTGAACTTGTAACTCCCAACTTTTCCATTGGGGAAACCATACATCAGATTAATCAAAGCGTGCCATTACAAACTTGGTCATGGGAGTCCATGATAAAGCAAGAATCAATTACCTACTTAATGTATACACATCTATTGTTACAACTTTTTCAAACTTATGTTTTCATTTTTTTGTACCTAACAGCTCTTAACATGTTTAGTCACTAGAAATAACGTTTATGGTAACAAGAAATAATGTTGGATAAAAAAAAAAAATTAGTTATGAAAATGAATCTATCAGAAATAGATGCAAAGATGTCCCAACAAAGATTTGGGCATTTCTTAAATTGGTAACCGAGTCTTGATTTATTATGATTCTCTCTTGTAGACAAATTGGTAATGGCATCAGTCAGTTATGTGACAAGCATGATACATGCTTAGGCAATCACGTATCTTTTGATACATGACCGATAAGGCAGATTTTTTTTTTCCTTCAGTAGGTTGCCATTTATTTCTGTAGCAGACCAGTTGCCATCCAAGGCTGTAGAACCTGGTCTGTCCTGCTATTTAGTCATAGCTGTGGGTGCGAAGAAGAGGATTTGAACCTTTCCTAAGGGTATTAGCAAGTGAGTGAATGTAATGGATTCAATTGGAATTCAAACTTAGCTCTCTGATTCCTCAACCTGAGTCACTATCCATTACTCCCCCATGTCTTCTCTGGTAATGACACACTTCAGCTATGAGTGGTTTACATAATGGAAAAAACAGAATACAAGGTTTGATTACTGTTTTGGGGCACAATTTTTCTTAGGACTTCCCAATCTAGGTTGGTTGATATTAATACCACTGTTTAAGAAAAGAAGACAAAAAAATGGGGATAGCAACTCAAACACATTTACCCGCTAAAATAACGTTTATGATAAGAAATACAAAACAAAAAAATAAAACCCTGACAATTTGGATGACGCAAAATACTGTGATAACAACATCAGCAAGCACAAAGTTCAATTGTTCAAACATGACTTGGAATTAAGATACAAACCAAAATAAATAATATAAAATAAAGCCAATAATCTTACCTTCTAAGCCAAAAATATGCAACTATTTCAGACATTGGAGTAAATTTTTTTTTTTTTTTTCATAAAACTTTATTCAAGTTATGAATCACCCAAGGATCCCATGTTAGTTTTTTTCTAAGCCTTTTGCAAAGATGTTTTGGTTTTCAAGAAAAACAAAAGATAAATGAAGTAAAATAATATATATATATATATATATATATATATATATATATATATATATATATATATATGAAAAATCATTATCTACAATGAGTGTGTCCAGGTTTCGTCTTCTACAAAATGCCTAGACTGATTTTAGTCCGAATCATCCGATGAATTTAAGATAAATTAAACTATGTCGGAACTGTAAGTTAATTAAAAGAGAATCAAATATTTTAATGGATTTATGATACAAATAAAGTCTGTTTATTAGATTTTTACATCCTTTTTTCATTGACACCAATAGTGACTAAATCCTGTATACACATTTTATGAGAATTTCAGTCAAGAGCGAAGCAGTTAGTCTATAAATCTGAGAACTGATTCTCTTTGAAAGACTGTATTTTTGTTTCATAGTCTAGGCATGCCGAAGAATAAAAGCTCAGACACTCGTTTCCATGTAAAAGATTATTTAGAAACCCAAGTCTTATACAAAGAGGAGATTTCATATCTAGTCTCTTTATTGTTCCTCATGAGGACGAGAGGGAGTGAGGGAAGGTGGGGAGGGGGGTATAAATGTGCGTGTGATACGAAAATGAAATGATAACCCTCTTTTGAAACGGTGAAGGGGGGGGCGTATCATTTTACATATTGACCAAAAGAAACAAGATGGGTTGAATTGAACCTGGTGACATGGATAGCTCCAGAGTTGATTGCAAACCAGCTGCAAGTTTTACAAGTATACAACTGTACTGACTGCAGAATGCCTCAAGAGCTTAGAAAAACTCTAGACAACACCAGAGTTCCGCTTTTAATAAACTTATTTTACTCAATAAACATGTAGCAGGAAAAAAAATTTAAAAAAAAAAAACAAAAACAAAAAAAGACTGTCAAATTGATTAGTTTAGGAAAAAGTTATAGAAATTCAAGATGTCTTTGTTCTTGTTTTTTTTTTTTTCATTCTATCTTTTTTCAGAAACAATATGAACAAAATAGTTGTCAATAAAAGTGATTACAGACACCGTGAATCCAAATGTATTCAGTTCACAAGAACCGTTTCTTTTTCTTATTTCCATATAAAGATGGGGAAAAATATAACAGATCTACAAATAAAATGTTGAACCCTATCTAATGTGCAGCAAAAGAGCTGATACTGTTTTAGTTTTTTTGTTTTGCTTTTCTTCCCATTTTTTTTCTCCATTCTCCATACCAAATGTGGTTGTTTTTTTTTCTCAACACCCAAAGAGATAAAAAAAAAAAAAAGATAATGGAGAAATGACAAATCCTTTTCGTTTATTTTTTTTTATTTTTTTTCTGTTTTAATTTTTTTTTTAAATTAAAATTTAACTTTTTTTTTTTTTTTTTTTTTTTTTTTGGCATTCTTTAATAAGTATGAATAGTTTTTCTTTAAAAAATGTTTAAAGGTTGTGGGATGGGTTTAAGAAAAAAAAATTATATATAACAATCATTTTTTTTCTTTCTTTCTTTCTTTCTTTTAACTCTAAGAGTGCAACTCATTCAGAATAATCATTTCTGTTTCTGCCCTCCCATCTACTGCCCCACTCAGAGTCCAGCTTTGAGGACAGGTACTTGCTACTTTTTGCTCCTCCTCCTCCTCCTCCACTCTGCTTACCTATACTCAATTCAGCCCCTTTCTTCTTTTTGTCAAAACTTCCTTCAAAAGGTTTTCTCTTTCTGTGGTCCAATCTAGAAGAATCTGTCCTTGTTTCTTTATCGTCATCATCATCATCATCGTCGTCGTCATCGTCATCATCGTCGTCATTGTCATCATCATCATTGTCGTCGTCGTCATCATCACTATCACTTATGGAAATGGCTTCATTCTTAGTGCTGTCATCTGCTACAAGCTTCCGTTTTTTGAGCCCCAAGTCAAGATCTTCCGCTTTCCGCTTCCGTTGTTGCTCCATAACGCCACTAGTGTTAGGTTCATTACTACTTGGGGTATCCAGCCCAGTTTTTGTGTCATTGACCCCAGCATCAATATCTTCAGAGTTAAGACGTTTCAACTTAATTGAGCACTTCTTCAGGTGTTTCTCCTCAACATGTTTTATAAACTCTTGGATGAGAATTTCCTGCTTGCACACACTACATGCCTTTACAGTTGGAATGCTAATCTGACACTTGTGACTCCCTAGAGACCCCTCTCCCGGCAAGACCATGCCACACTTTTTGCAAGCCTTATGTACAAGAAGACAATGTTGAGTCAGTTCTGCGTTACTGGCAAAAGGAACTTTGCAAAAGACACAGTAGTTTCCTTTCACCAACTGAGATGCAGAAGAGCCAGATGTAGCCTGTCCACTCTTGGTCACCATCGTAACAGGAGTACCACCACCTTTCTCATCAGGTTTAGTCTTGGTATCTGATGAATTAGCATTGGTACGTTTGACCAATATCCCGTGACTGGCAGCCATGTGGATCTCTGTCTCAGAACGACTCAAGCATACCTTACCACAGACAATGCATCGTTTCTGGTTCAAGAAGTCCTGCAGATTAAGCTGATGGGTGTCGGTCATGTGATTAAGCAGGTGAGAAACAAGACACCCGCAAAGGATGCAGACTTGTGAAAGGGAACCTTTTGCGTAATGCTTCAGCGATACCCGGTGTTTCTGGAGTCCTTGGCTTGTCCAGAATTTCTTGTCACAAACATCACAGAAGAGCGGTGGACACGGTTTCTCAAACATTAGAGCAGGCATTTCAACACGATGTGCATAGAAGAAATGAATTCTCAGAGCGTCTCGGTCCTTAACATAGCCGCCACACAGTTCACAAATCTCAAATTCACTGACATCACTAGTCGGCTGAGTGTTTGAAGGAATCAGTTTCTGGCTAGCCAGAGATTTGGCTGTCATGACATTTTGACCCTTAATGGCTTGGTGAATATTTATCAGGTCTTTGACGGGAAGCTGAGATTGCATTAAACTAAGATTCCCTTTGTTTACCGATTGGTTCAACATTGACTGAACACGATTGCTGTTTTGAGATAGGGTCGGCGTGAATGGTTTTATTGGTATACTTGACTGACCGCTCTGTCGAAGGGGTGTCTGTGGTTGGAAACGATTTGACTGCATCTGACTTCCAGGCATCTGAGGCTGCTGACTGGAACCAATTTTGGGGTGGACTACTACAGGAATTCTTTGGCTCATGTTGCTTTGCATCAATGGTTTCGGTTGAATGGGAGAAATCTTATTGGCATTGAAATAACTGGCCCTGTTTGCAGCAGCCTGTTGCTGCTGAAGTTTATACTGCGCTTGTTGAGCCTTTAATTGAGCCTGTTTTGCCTTGTGCAAAGCGATGGCTTTGAGAGCCTCTTCTTTCTCAGAAAGATAGAACACACCGTACAAGCTATAGTTGATATCAGTGTCAGGGGACGGTGACAGATGAGTTTTTATTTCGAAATTCTTTTCGCATTTGAATTTGTGCTGTGTGAGTTTGCTCTTAGAGTTGTGCTCAAAAGGGCAAAGGGTACATTGCCAAAACGAGGGTTTGTCCATGCTCCGACCTTTGATGTTATGCTCAGCCTCCATATGAAAATTAAAGGCCACATTATTTCTGGTGTTGAAATCACAATACGAACAGCAGAAGTCTTCTCGATGATTAATGTGCGGATGTTCTCGATGCCAGAAGTGCACGTTGACCGATTCACTCACAAAGTTGCATAATTTGCATTTCCTGTAGCTAAGCTTCAAATGTTTCAGTTTCTCTGCAAGCTCCTTACAAGACGAACGCATCTTATCCAGCTGGGAGCACTCGACATCGGTTAGTTTTCCAGCTTGTTGCTTTCGGGACTGGATATGGATTGCTTCATGATACACAGACTGTTTCACAATATCCAAACCTAAGTTGTTTAAAAACGTGGCAAGGGGACCAAGCTTCTCATCAACTTTCTTTAACAATTCTGCTTTGGCCTTTGCCTTAAGGATTCGCTGAGCCTTTGTGGACATAGAATGGAGTAAAGTTTCATTTCTGATAGCCTCTATCTGTTGAATGCTTGACGTTGGGGCTTTTGCGTCTTCATCAATGATGCTCAAGTTTTGGGAATAATATGATTTAGGTATGAAGGGCATTTTTGAAGAATTGGAATTTGCATTTGATTTGAAGGAGGACAAGAGAGAGATCGAGGTTTTGTTTCCTGCTGAGCCGACCATTGTCAGTGGGATATTCTTTTTCTGTTCCTGATTGGCTAATTTAGCAAGAAGTAGGGAAGATTGTTGTTGTGGCAATTTCTGTGGTTTGTTGTTAAGTGCAAAATTTGATACAGAACTGGTATTTTGACTAGAACTATCCGACTCTTTTTGTTTTTTGGTTCTGTTTTCAAGACCGTTTTCAGTTTTGTCTGTAGAATCGGATTCTTTCGCGCTGTCGCCGTCATTATCCTCATCGAGTTTGCCTGTGGTATCTTTGCCATCGTCGGACGACTGGTCTTCTTTTTCATCGGTCAAGTCTTTAGATCCATCTTTGATGGCAATCTTGTCGGAAGAATTGTGATTCTTTTCCTCACTTTCATCTTTGTTAGAAATTTCTTTGTCCTTGGAATCACTTTCTTGCAGACTATCTGAAAATTGCTGTTTATTCGTGGCATTTTCCTCTTTGGTTGGAATCTGCTTTTCAACTCCATTTTTCTGGGGGTAAGTCTGGTCCGATTCTTCTTTTTTCTCTGCTGCTGTCTGTCTCATTTCGTGAAGTTCTAATCTCTTGCCTTGTTTGTCCATTCCAAATTTCTTCTAATCAGCACAAGTCTTTTGCATTCTGTTAAAGACAAGAAAAACAGAAGCAGTCTGAAAGTAGGAAAAAAAAAAAAAAAAAAAAAAATGATATGAGTGTTAGAAAGATGTATTTACAATTTTATTTTTAAACTCTTTCATTGTGAAATAAAGCCATTCTTCAAATAATCAAACATTACAAAATAAATTTTTCAATTAATTAAAATTTTATTAATGTGATAAAAATCTTAATGTTAAAAGAAGGAAATTTATAACAAAAATGTTGGGGGTAAAGTTAATCTGTGTGTAAAAGAGTTATGTTTTCTTTTGTTTCACATTTGTCTAGGGTTTTCATTTTTTGTTGATGCACACATTTCTATCTTTGCTCTGATGAGAAACTATCAATAAACCAGTTTAGCCATCTTTTTTGTAGGCTTTCAATATTACCATTTTACAGAAATTTTTTTGTTTTCCTGTAATAAATTTTTTTTGTTGTTTTCTGTATAATTTTTTTTTGTTTCTGTAATAATTTTTTTCTTTTAACATTTACTTAATATTATTCAAATTCTGTAATAATATCAATCAATCAATCCATGTATGTCTGAATGTTAGACAATTTCTTCACAGAAGAGGAGGAGACCTGAGGTAACAGATGTGGTTCTACAGCAGGATGCTGAGAAAGCCATGGATGAAAATGTGAACGACAAGGAAGTTTTAAGGAAAAAAAAAAAAAAAAAAAAATACTGAGTCAGAAAAAGACAAAATTTCTGGAACACATGAGGTAAGGAGGCTTGGAGAATTTGACACTCACACGATATTGAAGGCAAGAGAGGTAAAGGGAAAGAGTAAGTAACCTAACCATTGAGTTTGTGTAAATAGATGGCAGAACACAGACTAAGAGAGATAGTAAATAGATAAACATTACTAAGACTACAAAGAATAAGTTGTGAAGTACAGTGGTACATAAGAGTAATTAGTCACTCTATCACACCCACCCGCCAAATCAGGTATATGCAATAAAAACCACTGGAGGACAGGTGAGGAGAAGGATTGTAATCCAACACAACAACAAAAATAAATAAAAAATAAAAAGTAAGAAAAAAAAAAGAAGCAAATTCTGAATTCAAAACCTGTTGCTAAGGAAAACAATGTTGTAGGGGGTCATAACCACCTAAAATCTGAAGAGAAATCGTATTATATTGGGTAAGCATAGTTTAGATGTGTCCCACCTAGTGAGGACCAAACTCACTATTCAGTCATAATTGATCTAGTGAGACATGCTTGTTAACCATTACACTATCTTGAAGTGTCCAAGGAACATGGCATTATGTGTGCATATATATATCATGGCTGTTTAAAAGGCTTGTTTTTGTCATACAGGAAAATCCAACATGGCGTGTAAACGAAATATTCGGCAAAAAATCTCATTCGTCAGTAACATTTTTAACACCTCATAGAATGTAAAGCTCTTAAAAAAAACCTATGCCAAACTGTTTTCCTGAATCCTTGATGACTTGGCTGTCTGAAAATGATAATATCAAGATGAAATAATGGAAACTGACCATGAAAAATACAATTATGTGCAACAGGTTTTCGATCAATCAGTAAACTTCTGGACCTTTTAGGGGGACGTTATAGGATCCAGACGGCTATTGTTTGCACATGGAATTATTCACTGGTAATTAATCTTTGATTTGGCTGTGAAAAATGTCACTCGGCAGTTAGCATTAAGAAATTATGTCCAATTTTATGAGAAAAATCACCGTTTTTTTATGAAAAAATATTTATTTTCGCTTCAAAATAACATCATTCAAAATTCATTCCCTTCTCTTTCATTTGGCTTGAACATCACTATATAAAAGGAACGGCTAAATGGCCCGGCTATGGGAAATACGAAAGATATGCAATGAAAAAAAAACAATGTTGTCTGCTAAGTGTTGTCCTCACCTGGGTCACAGGGTGTTAAAAACAAAACTCATCAAGCCATTGTTCAAACATAGGTTATATCAAGCCCTAAAATTTTGACCCCTTTTTTCACTCTTTGCTTTTATCTGGAAGTGGTGGGTTTTATTACAACTTGTTCTAAGGTTTATTGCTGGCTGGCTGGCTGACCTTTGACCCAGATGTCAAAGTCAATTAGGTTTAATTTTCCTTATCACTGCTATTTTTCAGAAAAAAAAAAACTTTTGGTTTCTGGTGGTTAGGAATTGCAGATAAATCTTTTGCCTTTTACTAAAGATTTCTGTGGCCGGGTGTCAATTTTTTTTTTAACCCTTGGCAAATTACCAATGGATTTTGTCGCATTTTGACCCCCTAGGAATGTTGATTTTCTTCAAAACTCAATTTTATGCCTGAAATAGTTTGATTATGATTTAGGCTTTCTGATTTAAAAAAAAAAAAAAAAAAAAAAAAAAATTTGTTTAGAACAAGAAAAAAATGCAAAATTTTCACATTTTACTTTTAAATGAAAGAATATATCCTTTGCTTTCAGAAAATACCTAGTTTCATGGGGTTCAGATCAAAAGTTTCCTTGATATTTGTTTACGTGATGATAAAACAGTCATTTTTCAATATTTTACCCCCTATAAAAGTATGAAAATCCAATTTTGAGAGAAAATAAGCTATGACAAAATGGCTTTTGCCATTTTTGTGATGATTTTTACTTGGGAAAGAAAACTTTTACCATAGCAAACCTGAATTGACTTTATTTAAGTTCAGTAGGGCTATAGGAAACCTCAAACAGCTGTTATATATATATATATATATATATATATATATATATATATATATATATATAAAAAAAAACTGCTTTGTGAAGTCAAACACAACCACCCACCAACTTGCTTCTTTCTGTCTAAATAAATCTTGAAAGTAGCAAGTGTTGAAATATTTTAAGATATTTTGAAAAAATTGATTTGGTCATTTCCGAAACAGATTTTTATTGGAAGATAGAGAAAAATGGAGGGCATAAGATCTAAGGGAGGTAAGCAAAGAAAATTATCCAAATAAGCTGTATTTTTTTCTAACCCACATTCTATTGAGAGCTAACATTTCTAAGTTTAAGGTTTTACCCCCCCAGAGAGAGAGAGAGAGAGAAAAAAAAAATTGCTTGTGTATGGAGTGTTTGAAAATTAAAAATCTGTTTGGACAAATCTGTTGTCATAATTAAAATTAAAGGATTTTATTTTTCTATAAAATTTATTAAAAATAAAATAAACACACATTACTTTGTCCTATTTGTATGTGAAAAAGACATGCTAATCTATTTCTGTTAATGATAGTTAAATTTATATTGCAGGTTTAGTGTGGAGTTACATAATGTACCCAACTGGAATTCAAACAATGGGTTGAATAGCAGAACAGACTGGAGCCTTTAACCTTGAATGGCAACCTACTGTGGGAAAATCTTCTGCCTGGTCAGTCATGAATCGAAAGAGACATGAACGCCCAACCATGTATCACGTATGACACGATTGACCCAAAATGCAAAGTAAATAACGGAAGAGTCCAATATATTTTGTCATTTATTTTACAAATTGAAGATTGTATATTCTAGACTCATTAAATATAAACTAATACATTTCAACCATTTTTATTTTATTTATTTATTTTTTTGATGATTAGTTTAAAACAAAAAAAAAAAAAACAATACAAAAAAAAAAATATTTCAAAATATACACACACACAGGTACAAGGCCAACTACTAACAATGATAATGTTAATATACTAGGTGACTGGAAAGTAACTATTTTATGTATGAGTGGCCAACCAAGAGTCCCGACTTAACACACTGTTATATTTTTGGGGGTGAGGTGGGATGGGGGGGGTGTTAAAAGAGCAAGTCTACTATACTAAATTGCAAGAGTTTCTGGTGAAATCGGTCGACACAATCCCTGGGTGGCTCGAGTAGCTGGCACAGAAATCTCATGTCCATATTGAATTTTAAATAAAACGCTTTCCTCTTATATCCATTTCTTGTAAAAATTATAGTTATAAATAAATTACAGGTATTTTAAAATGGAGTTACTTTTCAACCACCCTCATAATGAAATTTATAAAATCTTTCTCTTCAAACAATCTTTCAGGAAAATAGTTTTATCAAGTAGCACTTTTTTCAGTATTGATGGTGTGGGATGTGTGTGTGTGTGTGTAGGGGGGGGGTCATTCCTAACTTTTTATTTAAAGTAGTGTGGAATGTCAACATCTTGATTATGTCACATTTTCTCTTTGAATTACATGTGCTATCTATTTTAGTTGTTGCTGTTGTTGAAAGTTTTCAAATGATGTGGCTTGTGTTATTGGGTATAGTCCATTGCAATCTTCAAGATCTATAGGATTCAATCAAAGCCATTTTTAACCATTGATTTTTAGTAAGCAGTTGTATACAGTTTAGAAATTTTTTAATGTTTGGCACCATATATGGCATTCATATGAAAGTTTCAACCTAACAAGGCTTTTTAAGAATATGACTAGAGTTTCCAGGCTAATGTTTTGGTTTTGTAGTAATTTTTAGTGTTGGACGAAAATACCTCTATCACAACCTATTCTATGTTCAACTTCCTTATCTCCTAGACTAAATTTGCTATAAGTCATCCATACACTGAAGTATTTGAAACATTCAGCATTTATCTAATCCACACCCTGAATTTTTATGATAGATTCAGGGTAGGTGCCATCACTGCTTTCATTCCAATTCCAGACCATAGTTTCTGTTTTAGAAAGGTTTATTTACTTAACAATGGCTTGCACTTTCTAACAATGGCTTGCTAGATTACTCTACAGTTGACACTTAACTCATTTCAATATAACTGAATTTTTTTTTCAGAATTAATATTGATGAAATTTATGGCTTCATAACTTTTATAAACCTCTTGGAAAAGGTGCTATTGTCATATTAAAACTGTCACTTAGAATCAGCAAAGCAAGGGAAGTAACTATTAAAGAAAAAAAAAAAAAAAGAGATTAGATTAGTT